AACATTATTTATGATAGCGCTAGATTGAAAACAACCTCAGTGTTCATCACTAGGGGACTGGCTACATAAATCATGGTTCATCCATATAACAGGCTATTCTACAACCAATAAACATGTGGAACCATCGCCAAGGTAGATTGTTAGGTGGAAAAAGCAAGATGCAGAACTGTGTATATCACACTATCACCTGGGTATTTAAACACATACAAACACACACACACACACACACAAACACACACACTATAACGGGAAGGAGAGTTACGAACTTCCTAATAGTAATTGCCTCCTGGAAGAACTGGGAAATGGTGGATGGGTGGGAACAGAATGTAAGTCTCTATAAATACTCTTTTGAACTTTTAACGTTAACTTATTCGAAAAAAAATTTTTTTTAAGATAGTCAAGGTTGCTTGAGGAGAGCAATTTGATAGAATATCTAGTGCTAGCAATTCCACGTTTAAGGATTTCCCACACACTCTGAAATACCCCAAGAGTGCCACGCTGTTCACAGAGCCATACTCAGATAATCATTACCTGTAATAGCAAATCATTAGAAATAACTTAGATGTCCATCAGGAGGCAAGTGGGGAGGGTAATTGTGGTGCATCCTCTGCTGAAATGCTCTCCAGTTAGCAAAAATTAGGTAGGTCTATATGTGGCATGTGGCTAAGTGAAACAAACACCCACTTTTATAAAAAGTATTATTTTTTTTAAAGTTATCTGTGCCTTTTTCTTTAAAGAATCATATAGTACAATATTTCTCCAACTATACTGCACTGGCCACCTCCATCAGAATCCAGTTGAACATATAGATTCCTGGGCTCCACTTTAGAATTACTGGGTCAGAATCTTTGGGGATAGAGCCCCAAACCTGGGTTGCTCACAAGCTGCCATTACTCAGATGGCCCCAGATTAGGTGATGTGTGGGCCCCAAGAGGGCAGCGGGCCTCACCCATTTCCAGGGATCCTGATGGGGCTCCTGAGTTCCTTCCCCCTCTCCCTGGACCAGGCCTCCGTTATCCCCTGCCCCAAGCTGGCTTCTTACTGAACTGCTGGGATGATTCTGCACGGTCCCTGCCCTTCTGGTTAGCTAATCATACAGCTAGTGCTTACTAGCGACTTGGAGCACAGTCAGTCCTGCCCTGTGCTGGGAGGGTCCAGCCCCTAAGTTGAAACTTACTAGACCCTCTCTCACCTTCTGAAATGGGGCGTCCCTGCCTCACATTCTGAATCCTAGGATGAAGGATCAAGAATAGGGGGCGGGGCAAATGGGACTTCCCTGGTGGTCCAGTGGTTAAGACTCCATGCTCCCAGTGCAGGGGGCCTGGGTTCAATCTCTGGTCAGGGAACTAGATCCCACATGCTGCAACTAAAGATCCCACATGTCACAATGAAGATCCTTCGTGAGACCTGGTGCAGCCAAATAAATAAATAAATAAATAAATATTAATTAATAAAAGAATGAGGAGGCAGAGGCCTGACCCTTGCTGTCAATTTCCCCCATTCTCACCCAGCAGGGGATGGAAAGGGAGGTTCTGGGGTGGAGTTGAAAGGGGAGCCCTGTGAGGGTCCACACATGAGGGCAGCTGGGCAGGCAGCGTGGGTAGTGTTTGGGCCAGAATTCAGGGCCTTGGAGACCAAGGGAGCTGGGGGGCTGGAGTCACTCAGAAGCATGAGAACTGCCAGGGTCACTAGCTATAGATGTGGTTACGTGTGGGTATGAAGGCCAAGAGGAGGCCTGGACATCTGAATTTAGAAAAAACACCTCCCCTGGGTTATTCTTATACTGGGGAACAACCAACCTGGGGGTGTGAGGGGGGTTTTTCTGAGCTTTCAGGGCAGGGCCTGGGGACCCCCTTTAAGAACTTCCCTCTCCCAGGTCTCCTGTTTCTCTGCTGCCCCCTGGCCTCACCCCCCAGGCTGTCACCTCCAGCTCTGCTTTGAGATCAGCACACCTTGGCTTTGGCTTCCACATAAAAATCACAGCAATATTAATAGCGGCCAGAATTTTCCAAGTGCCTCCCATGTGCCTGCTGTGGGCATATGGGCACTGGGCTGTCGTTAAGAGGGTCCCATTTCCCTCAACAGCTTTACTGAGATATAATTCACATCCCATTCAATTCACCCATGTAAAATGTACTATATTAACATTTCATTGGTTTTTTGTTTATTTACAGGTTGTGTAAATCAATTTTAGAACACCCCCGATCAATTTTAGGACATTTCCATCAACCAAAAAAGAACCCCATACCCGCTAGTAATCACTCCCCATTTTCCTTTCCCCCAGCCCTGGCAACCACCAGTCTGCTTTCTTTTTTTTTTAAAGGAGGAGGGGTCTTTTTAAAACAATTTATTTATTTTTAGCTGCTACTCTTCGTTGTGGTGCACGGTCTTCTCATTGCGGTGGCTTCCCTTGTTGCAGAGCACAGGCTCTAGGCATGCGGGCTTCAGTAGTTGTGGCACACGGGCTCAGTAGTTGTGGCGCACAGGCTTAGTTGCTCCGTGGCATGTGGGATCTTCCCGGACCAGGGCTCGAACCCGTGTCCCCTGCATTGGCAGGCGGATTCTTAACCACTGTGCCACCAGGGAAATCCTGAGCTTTCTGTTTCTATAGATTTTTTTCTCTTCTAGACATTTCATATAAATGGAATCCTACAATACATAACCTTTTGCATCTGGCTTCTTTCACTTAGAATAACATTTTGATTATCCCTTAGAATAATCCACAGTATAGCATGTTATCAGTACTTCATTTTTTTTTTATTGCCAAATAATATTCCATTGTCTGGACACACCACATTTTATTCATCCACTCATCAGTTGATGAATATTTGGGTTGTTTCCACTTTGGGGCTGTTATTTATGAATAACACTGCTATGAGTGAGTATTCATGTACAAGTTTTTGTGTGGACATATGTTTTCAGTTCTCTTGGGTATATACCTAGGAACGGAATTGCTGGGTCATATGGTAACTCTATGTTTAACATTCTGAGAAACTGCCAGACTGTTTTCCCAAGAGGCTGCATCATTTTATAATCCTACCAGCAATGTATGAGAGTTCCAATTTCTCCACATCTTTGTCAACACTTGTTATTCTCTGTCTTTTTGATTCTTGCCATCTCAGTGTGTGCAAAGTAGTATTTCTTTATGATTTTGATTTGCATTTCCCTGGGAGCATTCCCATTTTACAGAAAAGGAAACTGAGGCTCAGAGAGATGAAGAGCTTTGCCCTGGGTCCTGAAACAAGGGTGGGCAGAGGCAGGATTCTAACCCAGACACTGTTCTTTCCCCTGAGCTGCATTCCCAATAGAGCAAGAAAAATCCCTCCAAGGAGGTGGGGACCCCTCTAAAGGGGGAGGGGACCGGAGATGAGACACAAGCCCTTGGGAAGGTGAAATGAGATCCTGTGGAGCCTCAGGATTTCCTGTGGAAAGTCTTTCACTAGTTCATAGGAGGTGCTCAAGACCTGTAAGTATTATTATCACTCTAGCATGAGCCTGTACACTCCAGACCTTCCCAGGGGGACCTGGGCTTTTCATGGTCTGCCTTGCACTTGGGCATTTCTAGAAGGGACCATGTTCATGGAATAAAGACTGGCTGCTGGCTGGAAAGGACCACGGGTCATAGACCATCCAGCCCAAGGATTCTGCAACCGGTCCAGAGCCCTGCCTGCTTCATAGCCTGGTTTATCCATGTCCTCATCCAGCCAGCCAGGCTCCAACCCACTCTTCTCTGAACTTCAGTTTCTTCATCTCAAAACTGAGGATACATGCCTCCCTTTGGGGCTGCTGTGGCAGTCAGCACAGTGCCTGGGACACACTTAGTGCTCAGCCAATGTCAGTCATCATTTCAACAGTTCCCGGTCCCTGCCCTTGAGGGAGGCTCGCTCAGTCTGGCTGCCAGGGGAGCTCAGGGACAGGCAGATGCCCCAGGCTCAGTGTGGGTGATGCTTGTGATTTCTGTAGATGCACAAAGGAGGCACCAGCTAGCCATAGTGGCTACCAAGGCTTAACTGACATGCCCTCAGGCAGATTCTCAGCAGGACCACGGCGGGTGGGACTCTAGGCTGGGATGAGCCGGGGGGAGTCCAGAGCCCAGGGCATAGTGGGAGCAGGGGCTCAGCTTGGCAGAGCAGGGTTCGAGAGCTGTGACCTTGTGACCTTGGGCGAGCCACTTAACCTCTCTGAGCCCATTTCTTCAACTGTAGTATGGGGATGGTGATACCTGGGGAGAAAATGACACCCCTAAAGTGCAGTGCCTAAACCTCCAACCTAGCCAGTCCACCCTCGTGCTCACATGCTCGGGGCAGTGCTGTTAATTATCGTGCACCCAGATGGGACCACAAATTTTTGTCAACAGTATAATGGATAAATAAGTTGATAAGTTGTAGATAGTCATGCAGTAATAAAAATGGGCAAATTACAGACACATGAAACAACATGGATGAATCTCACAAATACAGCAGTGCGTTAAGGAATAGATATGGTATGATTCCATGCATATAAAGTTCAAAAAATGTAGACAAAACTCAACTATATTAAGATGATATACATATAGGTAGTAAATGTGTAAAAAGAACATTGAGAATGGGATGACCTTAAAAATCAGGGTGGTGGGAGGGGGGTGATCTGGAAGACATGGGCTGGGCAGAGGGTTCAGTTATGGGGTGCTGCTTGATAAGCTGGTAGCTCACCCCTACTTGCTTTATAATTTATTTATTCACAGAACAGTGTACACATATTTTATGCTCTCTTCTGTATGTGTAGTTATCTCAGAATCTGAGAATAATTCAAGTGCCTGGTAGTTGGATTGGCCCTGGACAAAGGCTGGTTTTCCTTTGACTCCTGGTGCTCCCTCCAGTCCTTCTGTGCGTGGGGGGCAGAGAGCAGGAGCGAGAAGACACTGAGCGAGGCGGGGGCGTGGGCTGGCCAAGCCCTTCCCACCTGCCCCTCTCCGGTGCTGCTCCCAGATACAAATGCCCAGAAAGACATTGCCCAGAGTCTTTTTTAAACCGCTTTATTTAGGTTGGCTGGTAGTCACGGACTGGATCATGTGTACAGGGTAACCCACACACCCCTAGGCAAAGCCTCCCCCACGTCCCCCGACTCCATCGCTGAGGTGTGGCCAGAGGTTTGAGCCAGTTCTGAAGGGGTGCTGGGCCCAACAGAAGTATTTACAAATCACCAGGGGGTGAGTGCCCCCCGATCAGGAATTGTGAGGGGATTGGTATTGGGGGGCCCTCGGCTCCCAACAGCCCCAGGCCCTTGGGTGGATTCGGCATGGCTCCTGGGAGGTGGCTGGGACATTAGGAGCTGGCAGAGGGGGTTCCTGGAGAGCCTCGAAGCCCCTCGAGGGGTCCTGCTGGTGCAGAACTCTGCATGGGGCCGTGGGGTGAGAAAGGAAAGGCCCTCCTTCCGACTTGCCATGTGAAGGGGCAGATTCCTGCCCCGGGGCGGGCAGGGAGCTGCTTCTTAGTATAAGGAGGCTGAAATGAAGGACCCACCTGGAGGCAGTGGGGTCTCCCTCTCCTCCCAGGGCCCCTGTGAGCCACCCTGGCAACTGGCCACAGCTCTCCTGGGGGCTCTGCTCCCAGTTCTTTGCCAGAGGAGAGGCCCCAGTTCTGCTCAGAAGATTCAAGTCCGAATTTGGGGAGGGGTCACTGTCCACACCTCCAGGTCCAAGCAGGGGATGGTTGGAAGGAGGAGGAGTGAGGCTGGGAGGCCCCGGCTTGGGACGGGATGGGGGACAAGCAAGCAAAGCGAAACACTGGACTCTACTGAAGCTGGTGACACAAGGGGGCAGCCCGGCCCCGGCCTGGTGCCCCATCCCGGCGTTCCGGGGCGGTTGTCCCCTCAGTGCCCGGGCCACCGTCTCTGAGCCAGGTCACGGGGAGGGTCTGAAGGGGAAGGGTTGGGCGGGCCTTACATGCTGAGCCAAGGGGTGGTGGGAGGAGGGCCGACGTGGGGGCCACGGGCCGTCTCGGGATGGGGAGGCAGCTGGACCCGGGCAGTCCTGTCCCCAGCGGTCCAACAGCTCCTCATGCACTCGGTACAGCCGTAGGGGCGCAGGGCGGGCCGGCGGCGGGCTGGGCATCAGTCTAGAGGCTGCAGGCCTCCTCATCCACCGAACGCTTCCGCAGCTCCTTGCCGGGCTTAGGGGGCGGCGGCGGGGCAGGCGCTGCGGGCGGGGCCTTGGGCAGGTGCAGGACGGAGTTCTCTCCCGGCTGCACCCGCAGGTAGGCCTTGACCTTGTGGTGCCGGGCCTTGCCGTCACTGAAGTCGATGACACGGCACTCGTAGGTGCCTTCGTCCGTGGGCTTCACCCGTGACAGGCGCAGCTTGTGGGAGATGTTGCTGCCCACCACCTTGACCACCTGGGGGCGACAGAGAGACGGTAACCTGGCCACAGGAGCCCACTCCGTGGGTGGGGCCCCAGACACACTCCCACGAGGGCACGCGGAGTTAACAGCAAAAGAGTAGAAGCAACTTCAATGGCCATCAACAGATCAGATAAATAGGCAGTAGTCAGTTCATTCAGGGGACTATTGCACAGCAGTGGAAAAGAATGAGCTAGAACTAGGCGTGTTAGAGCTCAGGGACATGCAGGAAGTGAAAAGATCTCATTGCCAAACTCCTACATACAGTGTGATGCCATTTCTGGAAAGAAACACGGGGAAATACTCTACACTGGTTTTGGTGACTTGTTTGTGTGCAAGTTTGAAAACAGATGGGAGGGAACACAGTGGCCTCACAGCCATGGTTGTCTCTGGAGTGGAGCCCAGGGAAGGGCCGAGGACCTGGGGTAGACTGAAAAGTGAATTCTTAGCTTTGTTTCTCAAACAAACAAACAAACAAATAAATAAATGCTGATCACAAATATATCAGGATGCTAACAACTGTTCAGTTGTGGGGGAGCAAGAGAGTGACATCTGTCTTTGTACTTTGGCTTTTTGCTTGTTTATTTATTTGATATGGTTTTAAAATTTTTACTTAAAATTAAAATATAATTTATATAGAGTAAGGCACACACAGCTTAATGAAATTTTACTCACATGTACACCCGTGTGACCACCATCCAGAGCAAGGCATGGGACACTTACAACCCTCTGGAGCGCACCCTTGTGGCCCCTCCTTGTCAATACTCACCCCCGAGGGGTTACCCACTAGTCTGATTTCTATCACCACAGATTAGTTTTCCCTGTTCTTGAACTCCTCCGTGTGTGGCTTCTTTCACACAACATAATATCAGTGAGATTCCTTCATGTTACGCGGCTCAGTTCTTTTTTATTGCATCATATGGATATACCACAATCTGTTTATCCAGTCACCTGTTGATGGACATTTGGGTAGTTTTCAGATTACAGCTCTTATGAATAAATCTGCCATAAACATAAAGCTACTGTGAGTTTTTTTTTTTCAATTAAGAAAGAAAAGGCAGTTTCATTTAAGAAAGAAAAGGACAGTCATATAAGATAAATCGTTGGGGAAGCTGGGTGAAGGAGACAGGGGACTCTGTGATCTCTTTTTGCAACTTTCTATGAGTCTACAATTCAAAATAAAAAGCTGGAAAAAAAAAGAGAACAGCTGGGCCTATAGAGTGGGGGGGTGGTAATGGGAGGGGGCTTCCATCCTTCCTTGTCCCCTTATTTCTTACAACCAAAATGAGCCTTGCCCCACCTCCTGTAGCCCCTGCCCCACCTACACAGAACAGGGGAGAAAAGTCCCCAACTGCCAGCCACGGGCCCCCTGCCCAATGATTTCACCACCAGTTGGCACTGCAGGCTCGCCAGGGCCAGGATGGAGCTGAGTGGGATTCAGACCTGTGGCCCCAGTTCTGAGCCCATCTGGTCCCTCGCCCCTTGGTGAGGGCAATGGGGACAGACAGACAGCCTGCCTATTCTTGCCACACCCCAAATTCTGGAGGAGGACACCCCTGCCGATCACCCTTGCAGTGAGGAGGCCAGGATGAGGAAGAGGACGGTCTCTGAGGGAGTGCATTCACTGTGCGGCCGGGCACTCACACACATGACTTCTAATCACCCCACTAATCTGCTCTGGCTTCCCTGGCCCCTTCCTCCCAGATGCCAAGCTCCTTCTGGCCTCACAGCCTTCTGATCTCTCTGCCTGGGTGCTGTCTCCTTGACTCCCATTCATTCTCAAACATCACCTCCTCCAAAACGCCTTCAGTCACATCTCCCTGTCTGTTTCTTTCCTAGCAGTCATCACAATTTGAGAACCATTTTGTTTACTTGATTTTTGTTTCTCTCTCTGGCTAAACTATAAATTCCGCGAGGGCAGGGATGATACCTATTTTGTTCATCTTAGTGACCATCGCAGAGGCTGGTACCCTGCAAATAATAACGATAAAAACATTTGTTAAATGAATGGCCTCACTCTAGCTCCTTCTTTCTCCAAATGAAGTGGTAGCCAGATATTACACTTTTTGATTTTAGGTCATGTATATATGATCCTACCCACTTTACTGATAGTGAAGCTACGGCTCTGAAAGAAGCGACTTTCCCATGGGCACTGAGTCAGTGAACGGCAGAGCCGGGAACTGACCCCAGGCCTGAGTCCATGCACTCTAACCCTCCAAAGGCATGACAGAGGCCCACAGAGGGTCACACAGAGCTGACAGGGCCAAAGGGGGTTTCCCAGGCTCCAGAAGGGAAGAGAGCAGTGGGCAGCCACAAGGAGCCTGGCCCGTCCTCCCTTATTCTGAGCCTTCCTGGCTGGTTGTCATCCCCCCACGAAGCAGGAAAGCATGGGCTTACAACACAGCAGGAAGCAGGAGGTGGGACAGAGGCAGAACTTCCCACCTTCCCACCAGAGCAAGCAGCGGGAGACTCTTCCAGCTGCCCCCCTGGGCAGGGGACCCCTCCTCTCCGGGTACCGGTACCGGGGCTGGGCCCAGCTGGAGGCCATCAGCCCTGCTGATTCCATCACCTCTGGCCAAGGGCACGGAGAGGTCCTGCGGCCCTGCCAAGCTCTCAGGAGAGTTAGGAGATGCTGCTGCAAATGCGCAGCGGGGAGTGAATTACCTCAACATCTGTTTCCCTCACGGATATTAATTATCCTTCATTTGTCAACCCTACAAGGCGCTAATGGAGTAATAATGTGAAGGCTGGGAGCAGCGCTAGGGAGGGAGCACCGAGCCCAGCCTACTCCTCCGCCCAGCCTCGGCCCAGAGGCCAAGGCCTGGGCACCAGCTCCCTCCTGCCCTGTCGTCCCTGTGTGGCCTCCCCCCTCAGGGAGGAGGAGGGAGACAGGGAGCACAGCAGACAGTGCTGGGAGGCTGATTCTGACCCTGACAAGTCACCAGCACCCTGGCCTCGGTTTTCTTGGGCTAGAACCATCCATCCATCCATCCAGCTGACGATTAGCGAGCGCCCACTCCGAGCTGGGCGCTGGGGATACAGCTGTGAATCAGCCAGACCCCAGCAACATCCGCGTGGGCTCCAGGTCTAACGGAAAACCCAGACCTCACACCCGCAACCAAGCACCCCGGGGAGCTGGTTTCCAACAGGATGAATGAAGGGAGAGGACACACATCAGAGGCTGCTCCATCCCAGCCCCAGGGGTCTGCGCCTTTAAGCACCATCCGGAGAAGGCAAATAATAAAAACAGTAACAACAGTAACGGTATTGCTGGTAGCTAGTGTTTATGGAGTGCTTGATCCCTGTGAAATGATGCACTGAATAGTCTACACCTTATTTAAACCTCATAATAACCGCATGATGTAGGCACTGCTGGGATACCCACTGTATGGGTCAGAAAACGGAGGCTCGGAGAGGTGAAGTGATTTGCCCAAGGCCACCCAGCTGGTGACAGAGACCAGGGCTTAACCACATCTCTGGGGAGCCTCCCGGAACCAGTAAACCACAGGTCTTTCTACCCCCTCCCCCGTCATTCCATAGGCCCCCAGCCCTCCATGTCTTGGGGGAGTCCAGTCCCTCCTCAGAAGCATCTCCTGTGGGAGGGGGCCCATCATCCTACCCAGGCTTGTTGTGGGTGGTGGAGCAGCCTGTTGGATTTCAACATTCACAGACTGGGCAGAAAACTCCTGCGGCCCAGGCCTCCAACACAGCTGGAGAGGCTATGAGGGGAAGAGACCCCCCAGGCGGCAGCTTGGCTGTAAATCATAATCACCTCGGCACAGGCATCGACAGGCCTTAGCAGTGCAATTACGTACCTAATTATGCTGAAAGAGGCAAGGCCAGTCCACACCAGGACCAAGCTCAGCCTCCTCCCTGCTTGCCCACGGCCCAGGCCCTTCTGGACACGGCAGGAGCCCACAGACCATCAGGTGGGCAGGCTGGGATCTTTCTCCCGAGCCAAGCCAGGAAGAATGGGTGATGCTAATTTGCGACCATGGTGCCAGACCTTTCCTCCACGTGGCCTCAGCCTAAGAGTGACGTGGTGGCCCTGGGAAGGTGCTGGGTGGGGAAGAGGGGTCAGAGGGTCCCTGCCTCAGGCCAGGGCTTGCCCTGAGCTCCGCCACTCCCGTGCCTCCGTCAGCAACACCCAGCCGCCAGCCGCCAGCCGCCAGCCCCTTGGCATGTCCAGAACCCAACCCAGAGTCTCCCCAAATCTGGGCCCCAGAAGGCTTCACCCATTCCAGCTAGACCTTCCCAGGTCGTCATCCCCACTGCTCCTTTCACACTCTGGCACAATCCATCTCTGAATCCCACTGACCTTCCCTCTAAACATCACTGGGCCCCCTCCCCTTCTTTCCAGAATCCAGATCCCCAGGCACTGGCCAGGACATCGCAGCCTCCTCCAAGGTCTCCCCAAAGCCACTCTGGCTCCTTCCAATCCGTCCTCCCGTGACAGCCAGACAGATCTTCCCAAAACGCCCCCAACTTAGAACGCTTCCTTTGATGTCTCCCAGCAGCGGCTGCTGGGGGGACCTTTGGGGTCTCATCCCCACCTTCCCCTCAGCCACAACAGCCTCCTGCAGTTCCTCCAACACACACACCCAGCGAAGTTCCCCCTACTTCTAGTCAACCTCTCTACACTTCAGTGCTCACTTCACCTCACTCCACCTCCTCCAGGAAGCCCTCTAGACCCACCAGCCTAGGTCAGGTCCTCTGTTACTGGCTGTGCTCCTTCTCATTTTGATGGTCATAGTTGTAATTTTACTTTTTATCATGAGAGGGATTATTGGATTAACATCCATCCCCCACACTGACTGGGAATACCATGAGAGCAGGGACTGGGAGTGTGTGACCATGGCCTTCACAGAGGAATCTTTTCAGTCCCAGCCAGAGGCCGGCTGCTCTATGGATGTCTCAAGGGATTTCCAAGATGGATGGAGTGATTTTTGACTCCACATGAATCTTGCCTCCCTTTCAGACTTCAGAGTTCCATGCCCTTTGTATATTGTGGATCACGGCAGGAATTTCAAGAAAATACAGAAACGTCTACTGCAGAAAATAAAGTCATAATACACCATGACCTGCCACTTGGCCTGTTAATCCTTAGTGAAGGATGCAGACCTCATGTGCTGCTCCAGTGGTCCCAGCCCCCATCCCCCACACCAGAAAAGATGCAGTATCCATATGTGTATCATACCTGTGGGGCAGCCAAGCGGGGTAAACAGGGGCTTGACCTATAGGGCCACTTGATTGATCTGACCAATGAAGCTGCCTTTTAACCATTTATGGAGATTTGGGGACAGGGGGCTGCAGTATGCTTCCTGAGGCCACTTTGGATGTACCTGGCTTTTGGGGCTTAGCTGGAGAGGAGGCGGGGCTTAGGATAAGTGGGCTGGAGCACAAGGCCACACGTATATGGAGACTCAGGCTGCCCACGGCTATTTTGGACTGAAACAGGTTACATGAACTGAATCTACAGCACAAATGACTTTGGTTAGACCAAAGGAGGAACTAACAGTAACGAAGGCAGGTAAGCCCCCTGGGAAAGAAGGTGTGTGGAGAATTTCACCTTATTTTACAATTAGGAAGTCGGGGGCCATCTCAACTTGCAAAACTGGTTAAGGGGAAATTAACCTAAATTCCAAAAGACAGAACTTCAGTTAGGTCAAAAGAAAAGTTTCCAGAACTTGAAAATGGACATAGCAAAATTTACCTGAGCCACAGGAATAAGGTCCTGATGGTAGAATCCTCAGCATATACAAGCTCCCAAGGGAGATACTTTTAAGGCCAGGGGGTCCTTTCCCAGGCCCCAAGTTAAATGAGATAATTCATGTAAAGTACTCATCATGGTTCCTGACATATGGTGGGCACTCAATAAATGTTGGCTGCTTTATTATTACTATTATTATGATTATCATCATCATCATCACAGATGCCTGTCCTCCCATATAAATGATCTCTCTGAGGTCTTTTCATTCCCTCCCATTTCCTGTAGAGAAGCTGGGCCTCCTTTCCCTGCTCCACACACGCTAGGAACAGGAGTCACGTGATTCGAATACTCATATTAAGTTTCCACTCTAGTACCCACTGTCATTCACATGGCCAAATCCGGAGGAATTTCACAGTTGCCAGAGTGTTTTCATATATTCATTAGACAGCTGTGAAGGGGGGAAAGAGAGGCCCAGGGGACTGGCAGAGCTGGACCAGGACTCAGGTCCTGTGACATTCAGGGCTGGCTCCACTGTGTCTTCACTGTCGCACCCCCGCGCTCAGCACTGCCATATCTCAACCTGCCCAGGGCCACCATGGCGGCCCCAATGGGTTACAGAGCCCGTCATGGAGCCCTGCCCACACCAAACTCCCAGAAACTCAGTGTACTTCCTCCTCCGAACCTGAGGCCCCCCAGGTGCTGACGCTGCCAGCGGGGAGACTGAGCCCTTTGGTTTTCACAGTTTTTCAAAAATCAAATTAGGTCCCAACAGTTAAAAATTGGGAGATTACTCCATGGAACTCGGGATTTTTAGGTGACATGGGGCTATGGGGCTGGAATTCCTGCCTGGCTCATCTAGCTCCTACAGATACAGGGCCTGCAGTCCCCAGGTCCCAGAGTTTCACACAAGCCCCTTCATGGCTGCAGGTCCCCTGTACACATCCATGCACAGGCATGATGCACATCGTGTTGGCATGTCCGTTTATCAAAATCTGTGTCTGGCTTTACACTGCCATTGGCCTGGGGGTGTGTGGGTATGTGTGACAGTCACTTGATAAATATTTATTGAGCACTAACTACCTGCCAGGCACTGTGCCAGGCTCTGGAAATGTAACAGTCAATCAGGCAAGCACAGTCCCAGCCCCATTGTTTCCGGGGAAGACAGGCCTGAAACAAATGCTCACAGGCATGGATAAGTGCAGACAGAAATGCAGCCAGCAGGGAGAAGGAAGGGGTGCCGGCTGAGTTCCAGGGTCCAGGGAGGCTTGCTGAGCTGAGCTCTGAAGGAAGAGAGAGGAACAGTTTTCTAGGCAGAGGGACTGGCCTGTGCAAAGGCCCAGAGGTGGAAGGAATGGGAGGCTGGAAGGCAGCGGGTGGAAGGGGGCAGTGTGAGCCGGGTCAAGCAAGGTGAGATAGCCCAGAGGGTGAGCAGAGCAAGTTGCACAGAACCTCGAAGCCCGCAGAGAAAAGTCTGAGCCTTCTCCTAAGCTGCAAGAAACCGGGGTGTGCCTCTGCTTACAGGTGTCCACTAACTGCACGTCTGTGTATTTAAGAACGGTCACGTGCAAGACGCTGTCTGCACAAGGTACTGGGTCTGTGCTTGTCTGTGAGTTTCCTAGCCAGAGCCCCAGAGCCTCAGAGCCCCCGCTGGTGCAAGAATCGCCGGAGCTAGGATGGGGTGGGGGGGATTGCACAATCATGCTGAGCACATTTATTTTATGTAACTAGTTAGCACCTTCGCATTCCCCTCATGTGGGGCCCAACAGCCTTGAATTCTAATCCTCTAAGTCAATTAGATTATTCTCTCCTGTGCCTGAGACGCTCCTTAAACCCCAAACAAAATCATCGGCGAGAGAGTTGCCATGAACAGGGTATATTAATACACACACAGATTTCTACCTTCCTGGGCTTAACTGATGGGTGTTTGGGCAAGAAATGGGGTATTACGTATGGGTGTGCCCTTGGCAGAGACTGAGGGTTAGGGTGAGGGCTAGGGATTTAGAGAGGGTGGACCAGCAGCTGCCCTGAGCTGGAAATGGCTCAAATTTCCAGATCACAACTCAGAAAGGCCCCGGGGGCAGACTGCACAAATGATGCTTTGAAGGCCCTTGTCTGTCATCTGCCTACCTCCTGCTTGAGCTTCTGTGGGAGCCTCCCTCCTGGCCTCCCTGCCTCCGTTCTGCCACCTCCAGTGCCTGGCACAGCACCTCATGCCTCCCAATGCCCACTCTTTACACTGTGACTTCCGCTCAGGGAGCTCCTCTGCATCTAACTGGCCTTGGGGTCCCAAGCTCCCCCGCAGGTCCTTGAAGGACTTCAGAAGGAGCAACAGAAAAGAGTGATTTTGGAGGTCACTCCCACACATGCACATTCATACCCCGGCGGGCACCTGCATCTTCTGAGTATGCGTCCAGTGGACTTCTAACCTCCTGCCAGGCTGACCGCATGCCCCGTGCACAAACGCAACCTGGTCCCATGGCCACATGTGTCACCAGGCCGGTCCCCTCTACACAGTCTCTTTTCTCAATCCTGCCTGCCTCTTCCAGGCCCTGCTTTGGGTGCCCTCCTCTACAAAAACTGTCAAACCCTGAGTCCCCTGGGTGCCCCACCTCACTGGGCTCCAGAGTAGCCTGGAGACAAAAAGCTGGAGGCAGCTCAGCCAAGTCACGACTCCAGCAAGGCTTTGACCCCTCTAAGCCTCAGTTGCCTCACCTGTAAAATGGGTGAAAGCCTGCCCTTCCCCATAGAAATGGAGCAATGATAAAATGAGTCAATGCATTAGAAGGCCCGGCCAGTCTTGAAATCCTTCAGCTGTAGTCCCCCTGTCCTGCCTCACGTCTGGAGCCAGATGACCCAAGTGACCATGAGATGCCACAGCAGTCATTCGTGATGGGCCAAAAAAAGCCGGCACAGTCTCATTATACCCTGTTGGTTCCCCAAATAAAAAATGCTGCTGAGACAGACATGAAGCATCAGGGATGCCCACAGCCTTGGTCCCAACAGGAGAGAATGCGTCTTCTCTCCCCCTGTCATTTGTTTGTGCCTGTCATTCAATGAACTTGAAAAATCTCTGGCTTTTAAAAAACAGAGCCAGGCCAAATTTTCCCCCTTCTTTTTTCCTTCTCCTCCATCTTCTTGCCCGAGTTCCCTGCTGAA